ATGGGTGGGCAGCTCTGCACAGCGGGGTCCCTGTAAGCACTGAGGTGTCTCTGAGGGGTATGGCCACCAGCTTGTCCCTTACTGAGTCTATCTGCATATTGGGGAGGCTCAGGGAAGGTTGGCCCCTGCTGCAGGGGCGGGACTTGAGTCTGGAGAGTTGGGGCTGGGGTCCATGGTGGTGACATGAGTGTCCATGGTGGTGGCAGACCTCCAGCCATCCCCCACCCCATCTTGGAGAGGAAACAGTGACCCCTGCCCAGCCCTGTGTCCAGGCTGATGCCAATCAAGTGGTCCTCCAAACCAGCCACAGCTCATATTTGCACACCCAAAGGGTGGAGGGAGAGGGGTCGGGGAGCGGGGAAGGAGGATTGCACATTTCCTAGGAATGGAGATCCAGAGCCTTCCCGGACCTCCTGCAGTGGCCTGCCCCTTGAAGATGTCCTAGCCAGCCCCAATCCCTCTCTCCTCTGGCCCTCTGGGTGGCCCCACGGCTGCTCTTGGACAAAGGGCCCAGCTCCTAAGATGATGCACCATGTGCCATCAGTGGAGGACTCCAGACCAACCCTAACCAGCCTACAACCAATGACCACTGGCCAGCAGCCACTGGCCACAGCCAGTTCGGAGGCCTGAGGAGCCAGACAGCCTGCCTATGGATTGCAATGCCCAGTAACCCGTCCCTTGCCCTCTCTGAGCCTTGGTTTCTCCATCTGCAAACTAGGGACTATAGCGCCCTGGCTGGGCTGTGCAGAGGGGGCTCCAAGCACCTCAGTGATCAGCCCAGGTGGCCTCCACGTCCCTCTAAGCACCCCAGACCTTCCCAGCCCAGTCCAGCAGTGACTGGAACCTGACTCCACCACAGCCTATGTCTTCCTGCCCCTAAGCTCCACCATGGCACTGGGACACCCTGGCCAGCTCTGTGGGCCGGATGCCCCCTCCTTCCCCTGCGAGCCCCTACTGGTGGCTCTCCTCCCCTCCTGCACACCCCACCCACACATGCAGATCTCAGTCTACCCAGTTCTCAGAGGCAGGCACTGGGTCCTCCCTTACAGGAGGTCAGAGAGGGCACAGGCCCAGGCCTAGATCCTATAGCTCAAACACGCTGGGGGCAAAGGACTGCGTGTGTTGAGGGAGAGGGTGTTAGCAGTCTCCCGGACAAAGTCCCATCTCTCTCTCCAAGATCTGGGCCCCCCTGGAAATCCCTCTGCCGGAGCCCATTGGACACAGGGCTCCCACTGCCAGCCCTGCCTGGGATGGCACGTGAAGCCCATCTTGGAAGCCTCACTCCCGCCGCCCCCACCTGGTATTTCAGGCCCTAAATCAGTGCAAAAGCTGCCTGCTTGACAACGGGCGCCCGCCCACCAAGTGCCAGTTGAAAACGGCAGATTTTTTTTTCCACCTTTACTATAAAAAGACACCTTGAAAATGTGACAATGACACTTGACTGTTGGGTTTCCTTTCAACATACACAGACAAATACATTGGTCATCCCAAGATAAAGTGAGACTTGGGAAAGGAATTTGAGCCAGCTCCCACCTTGTTGGGGAAGCCCGTGCCTCAGTTTCCCCTGCCAACAGCAGGCTCTCACCTACACAGGCTCATTCCCTCACTTGATTTATCTCCCCACAGATCCAAACAGCACCCCAAAGATTTCTGAAACAGGGTCAGCATCACCTCTCTCCCTCCACCCACCACCCAAGTACTGGTGAAAATCAAGGCCACCTCCAGTGTCACCTCTGCAGCTCCTCCCTTCTCTCCCAGGTTTCCGAATGCAAGGGGCTGGGGCCACCTTCACTGTCTCAGAGTCCAGGAGCAGAGGAGTCCAGCTCAGGGAGGAGGTGGACGGGCAGAGGCCACCATGGCCAAGTCCCTGGAGCTGTGGGTTGCTAGGACACCTGTGGGCAACCTTAGAGCAGGAGGCTGGGTGAGCAGACGCCCTGCTGAGCCACCCACTGGCATTTTACCCACTGCAGGAGGCACATGGTCAGGTAGGGCCCCATGTCCAGCCCCACCAAGACCACCTGGGTCAGCTGGCACTGGCAGGGAAAAAGATGAGCGAGCTCGTACCCTCCCTGGAGGCACCAGTATCCTACCGCCATGCCACCCATGTCCATCAGCACTGTGGCTGGGCCAAATCCTGAACACTTCAGTCTGCTGGCTGCAGCTTGTCCTGAACCCACCTGCTTCCCACCACACCTCCAGCACCACCTCAGAACTGGTCATATCCCCCGCCCTTCCCAGTATGCACCCCCACCCCCAATGCAGGGGAACAAGGCCAACCACACATCACCCTCCCAGGGCCTGGCATGGAGCTCCTGGGGAGTAACTGAACCGTAAAGAGGACCTCCTGCCTGTGCCGTGGTTCTCCCTGCCTTAGGGGCTCCCAGCCCCCAGCCCTGGTGCCTGGGCCTTACTTAGGAGCCTTCCTGTTGGCTATCACTGAATCTCCACAACCACCCTAGGGGGCCCGGGGACTCCAGTTCTCAGTCCCATTCTATGGAGCTGGAAACTGACATCCTGTCCCTCCTCTGGATAAACCCTCCATGGCTCCCCATACCCCTGGGATAAAATCCAGCTTCCCCCCACCCTTTCTCGTGCTTTCTGCACCCTCCCCTCCTAGCCACACCTAGCACCCCTTCATCCACCTGCATGCCCCAGCACAGGCCCTTCCTTGTCTGCCAGCTTCAGGTGGCTTCCACCCACTGTTCCACCCAGCCATATCCAAGCCACCACTTCCCCAGGGAAGCCCCCCAAGCACGTACTGTATTTGTTCCTTCATCTACTCCCGCCGCAAAAAAAAGCCTTCAACATATGGATGATCCCCGTCCCCACTTGATAGCTGGAGACACTGAGGTTCACAGGGGTTAAATGACGTGCCCAAGGCCACGCAGCTGTGACGGTCAGGGATGGGCATCAGGGGATTCAGCCACAGCCCGGAGTGACCCCAACGATGACCACTCCCCCCAGTCCTGCGCCCACCCCTGCTGACAGGTCCAGACCCAGGGTATAGGGCACAACTGGGAGAAGGCGCCAAGAGCCTTGCCTACCACCAGGCCTGAGGGAAGAGGGCTCTGGGTACTCAGGAAGGTGGCCTAGAAGGACTTGGGGTGAGGAGGGAGGGAGCCCTGGCCTCTCAGTCCCTGGGGCTGTGTCCCTGGAGAGCCCTGCCCCTCGGCAGGGTGAGTCACCGCAGGGCCAGCCTGGGGACCAGGGACCGTGGGAACCGGGACATTTATTCCAGAGGGGGTGGGGAATCCGGGAGGCTGAGGCAACAAATAGTGTGGTTCATACCAGGGTCCCAACACAGGCCTGGAGCTGCTGGGGCTGGGTAGGGGGGTGGCCCGGCACCCCACCCTCCTGGCCTCCACATGCCCTCGGGGCAGCAGGGGCTGCAGAGGGGGTCCTCTCACCTCTTCCAGCCCTGAGCGCCCCATCCATGCCCCCCCCCGCCCCAGTGACAGCCACAGCCAAGCAGGCCCCGGGGAAGGGAAGGGTGGGTGTCCTGACCACAATGACCACAACTGGGCAGGCAGCCCTGGCAGGACAGTGGCGCCCTGGGACACTGCCCGTCTCACCCACGATGACCTTCACCTGCAGGGTGGCCGGCGGGGCGGCAGACAGTCGTGGGAGCCTGAGCAGGGCAGAAGGAATCTGTTTTCTCAAAGGCCCAGTGTTGGGCACGCCCACGGAGGAGGTGGGGGGACAATTAATCTTTCGAATCTTGTCGCGGTCACAAGCAGGGCCCCAAGAGTGGGTGCAGCGAAGTGGGCAAATGGAGGGAGTACCCCCACCACCACCCAGGGCCTTGCTGGTGCTCATCTTGAGGAGAAAGGCAGCGTCCCCTCTCGCACTGCAGTGTCTTGTCCCTAGGAGCAGTACATGGCCCTTCCCAGCCTGGCCCTCTGACCACTGCCCTGCGCAGCCTCAGAAACCCCGGCCTCCTATTCCTGGGCTCCGCCTGCTCCCTGCCACCAGCCCCACAAACATGCCTGTTTTCTCCCCTTATTCTAGCCCCCCCCAGCTGCCCGGGACTCCCCCAACACACACACACACACACACACACACACACTCTCTCTCTCTCTCTCTCTCTCTCTCTCTCTCTCTCTCTCTCTGAGTTCCATGCCCCCAAGCAAGCAGGGCCTCAACAGATGCTGAGGTGCCAAAGCCAAGATTCCACTCCCACCTCTGCCTGTCCCCAGCTGGGTGACCTTGAGCAAGCTACTTAACCTCCCTGTGCCTGCCTCATCTGGTAAACAGAACCCAGCACAGCCCCTGCCTCAGAGGGATGTCGTTGGGATATGTAGACACACCTAGTGGGGACCCCACAGCACTCTGTCTATCCCCTATGCCTGCTGCATGCTAAGTGCTCTGTAAATACTGGCAGAAGGAGGGTATTCCTTCCGAACTCCCCTGCGCACCCAGAGTCCCTCAGCACACCCACCTACCTACGCTCTGGCAGGCCCCGCCCACTGGCACACAAATCTAGGGCACACACCTTTGTCACTCTCACTTTGGCACCCAGGATCCTGGTGCACACCTGTGTGCTTCATCGCACATCTGCCACACCCTGGCACACATCTGTCAACCAGCAGGGGTAGCTCTGATGGATACACCCAGCTGTCCCAGAGCACACTTCTGGGCCAGGTGTACACTCACACACGCCTGAGACCCACACGTGCACATCTGGCTGCATGTGAACCTCTGGTTCTCGCTTCGGGGAACACCTGGGTACCTTTGGCAACGCCGACCCCTCCAGGCACAACTAGATGTGTGCGCCTGGAAGCAGCCGCACTCACCCAGTTTCCTTCACCCTCCTCAGTCAAGGTTGGCACCCGGGGTCTTCCAGGGCGCACCCGCATCGGTGCACCTGAAATTCACACCTGGTTCCCAGCACGTTCCCGCCCTGCCCAAGGTTGCCAAGAGTCCCACAAACTCCCGCTGCCTACTGGCCACTACACCCGCCTCGGACCCCACACCTTGTGCACCCCGCCGCCCGGCCGTACCTGGATATTGCGCTTGCGTTCGCAGGCCGGCCCCGTGCCCTGCACTACGCTGTCCAGTACGGCCACCACGTCGGGCGCAGGCTCCACGAAGCAGGCGGTGCGCGCGGCGCGGATGGCGGCCCGCACGTCGGCGAAGCGGAAAGCGCAGAGCGCGGCCGGGGCAGCGCGGGCCGCGGGGGTTCCCTGGGGCCGCTCGAAGACGGCAAAGAGCAGCTCGCGCGCAGGGAAGACCGACACCAGGCGGCTGTAGAGGTCGCCGCGGCCCGCGCCGCCCGCGCACTGCAAGCCCAGCTGGATGTAGGACTCGGTGAGCTTCTTGGCGTCGCCGCCGGCGCCCCGGGGCAGGCAGATGCGCGCCAGCAGGCTCCGCGCCTGGCTCTCCTTGTCGCCCGCACGCGCCTCGCTGTTGAGCGCCAGGTACGCGTACGACGGCACGCCCGGCCGCTGCTCCGGCGGGTGCAGGAAGGCGCGCACGAAGCCCAGCTTGTGCTGCTCTTTGGCGCCCTGCTTGATCTTGAGGATGTTGTCGTCGGAGGGGTTGAGGTCGAAAGTGAAGAGTTTGGCCAGGTCGCCACGCGCGTCTAGCGAGCGGATGGAGATCTCGGGCGTGTTTTCGAAGCGGTGGTCCTCCAGGCTGCGGTTGCGCGGGAAGAAGGCGCTGCCGTAGCCCGTGTACGTGGCGCCCACGAGCAGGCGGCTGCCCCCGGTGCCGGCGGCCGGCGGCAGCACCAGCGCCACGGTGGACGCGTTCGCGTGGTTGGCGGCCACGTTGAGCATGCTGGGGAACACGGCCACAGGCGCGGCGGGTGGGGCAGCGGGCGGGAAGGCCACGGCCACGGCCGAGATGTTGCCCCGGCGCCGCAGCTGGCAGAAGCCCTGGTAGATGGAGCCGCACACGACCACCAGGCCCTGGCCCGGGTCCAGCTGCAGGATCTTGTTGTAGTTGTCGGTGAGGCGCCGCGGGTGCTCGCACGAGGCCTGCGGCAGCTGCGGGGCGTGGCACAGCGGGCTGTCGGCCACGGGGCCCACGGCCGCCTCGGCCTCCAGGCTCAGGTTGGCGCCCGACAGCTGGTAGAGGCGGTTCACGGCGGCCAGGTACACGGTGCCCGCCGCGCCGTCCAGGGCGAAGTTGTTGGTGGGCGTGGGCGAGGGGAAGCGGCGCTGGATCTCCAGGGCGCCGGCCCGCGCCGCCCCCAGGAGCAGCAGGAGCAGCAGCGGCGGAGGGCACAGCGGGGGCCCCCGGAGCGGACGGCGCGGGGACGGCGGCGGCGGCGGCGGGGACCCGGCCGCGGCCGCCCGGGAGCTAGGGGCTGCGCCGCCCGCGGCGCGACGAGCCATCCGGGCGTGCGCGGGCTGCGCGGCGCGGCGAGTGCATGGGGCGCGGCGCGGCCGGGAGCCGGAGCCCGGAGGCGGCGAGAGGCGGGGGGCGGGCCCGGGCCGCGAGGAGCTTCCTGCCCGCGCCAGCCGCCCCCGGCCCCGGCGCCCCGGCCCGGCTCCGGCGAGCGGCACAGCCCGGGGGCGGGGCGGGGGCGGCTCCGCGGCGGCCCCTCCCCCGGCGCCCCGCCCCCGGCCCGCCCCGCCCGGGCCGGCCTTGCCGCTGTCGGGGGGCGCGCCCCCCGGGACCTCCCCGCCGCCTCCGGCCCGCGCCCCTCCGCGCACCCCTGCCGGCTCCGGCGCGTCCCGCCCTCGCGACCTGCCTGTCCCTGTCGCTCGCTCTCCACGAGTCTCTGTCCTGCTCGGCTCAGCTCCGTGTGGGGCGCGTCTCCGAGCCGCTGTCTTGCGAGTCTTGCCCTGCCACCTCCGTCATCCCGCCCGGCCCCGTCCTCTGCCCTTCTCGCTCTGTCTCTGCCTCCACCCCGCGACCCTCAGTTCCTCCTTCCCTCGTGGCCTGCTATTCCGTCCCTGCTTGGAGACCCGCAGCCCCGTCTCTCGTGTCCTGGGCCAGCAGGGCATGGGGCGCGCTCCCTCCCGTCCAAATCCCAGTCCGGTGAACGAGTTTACTGGCAGGGAAGGAGCCCAGTGCTTGCGGTCAGACCTGGGCATCGGGAGAGCATGGGAGGCTACAGGAAATGTTTGGGGCCTGGGGCAGGCTGGGCTAGACTCCCCCGGAGGCCCCAAGCCACCCCCACGCCCCATGAAGGCACCAAGCACTTTCCTTTTGTCCCCGCTTCTGCAGGACCCTCCCAGACTTACGGCATGCCACCGGGCAGCTGGCACCGGGGCACACTTCTCCCTTCTCCGTGAAAGGGGCCGGTGGATGCTTGGAGGGAGGGCAGAGCAGTGTGAGCAACTGGGGTACAGAGGGTGCCCCGCGGGGCTGGCTCCATGCTGGGCACCGAACACTTTGATGCTTGCACTTTGTCCTTGCATACACCCTTGGCGACTGGGGCCTCTGCTGACTGTCCCATCCCACTGAGGCAGAAACTGAGGGCCCAGCAGCCCAGAGGACTTAGAGCCGTGGTGCCCCAAGCCGGCCTGGGCCAGCAGGGTCCTGCTCTCAGCCCCAGCTGCCACATGGCGCCTGGCAGCCTTGCTCCTTCTTGTTCCACCCGGCCAGGAAGGAAGGACAGGAGGTTTCTGTATGCCACACCAGGGTAGGCAGGAAAGGCTAGGCCTGCATTCATCCCTCCCAACTTCCTCTGCCCAGCACCCTGGCTTTCCTGCCCTCCCACCAGCCTGTCCCACCCCTACACCCTGACCCAGCGCTTCTGCAGAACTGCAGGGGGGTCCCCTCTCAGAAGCCCCCTGAGCTTGGGGTTCCCTCCCCCCAAGACTTCCCCATAGGACTGAGCTCCCTGCCCTCCTCTGCTGCGTGGGGAGGGCACTGCCACCTGTGGGGGCAGACAGTGGAGCAGCCAGGGAACACTTCCTCCTGCACTCCTCTGCACTCCCTGCCCACCCGCTGCCTCCTGGCCCGGCCCTGCTTCCTCCAGCTAGTCGGTCTAGGTCTCTGTCTTCCTCTTTCTGACCGTACCCCACCAGGTCCTCATTCCTGTGTGGGTCTCTATCTCTCCTCTCTCTGCCTCCCTGTCCCCACCAGCTCTGGCCCTCGCGTCCCTCCTTCCTGTCTCACGCTCATCTTGCTGCATCCTACAGCTCCCCCCTCTGAGCCCTGAGGATACTGCACTGTTTCTCCACTGCTACTGGTTCCTGGTGAACGGCCGGGCCCAGCCAACTGCTGGCACACCAGACCGCGGGTATCAGAGCCGAGAGTGGCAGTCCGAAGTCTGAGGAGCCTCACCTAAACTGGGGGGTAAGCAGCACTGTGCGACCTCAGTGGAAACACAGCCCTCTCTGAACCTCAGTTTCCTGGATGGCAAAACAGGGGCAATTACAACAGCCCCTGGCCCCGGGGAGGCTGTGGACACTCGAAGATGCTGGTCTCTGCCCCCATCCCCACCAAGGTGCTGACTGATGCTCCCACCCCCCACAAGGGCTCCTCCTGAGGCCAGGAAGTGAGGCTGCAGGATCACAGCAGAAAACCAGGCCCTGCTTCTTGTCCCACGTCCACTAAGGATAAAGTCCTGTGCCCAGCACTGCCCTAGGCTAGAGTCATCTCACAGATGGGGAAACAAAGGGACTTTAACCTGGATCGGTCTCCCTTATCCTATCCCCCTTTGGTCCAGCATGGACAGGGCAGCAGCTCCCCTGCCATCACCCCCCACCAATGCCCCTGGTTGGGCAGGGCAGGTGCCAGCAGCTATGGACTAGGTCCCCAGTGTATTTGGGAGGGGATCAAAGCGAGAACTCTGGAACTGACACTAAACACCTCTGAATTAACCAACCCAGACGGGCCAGCCCTGTGCCCAAGCGTCAGCTGAAGGTGAATTCCTTCTGACTCAGGCTCGTTTCCATTTGATTCTATCAAGAAGCAAACGTAGCTGTAGTGACACAGTGTGTGACATTTGTCCCGATCCAACCGAGGGCTGTTGATGGTCCCAGGACGCCCCTGCAGGCGCTCACTGCTTTGAGGCAGCTGGCAGGCGGCCGGAGTTCCCAGGATGCACGGATTTGCTGAAGTCTTTGCCAAGGGAGTGGATTTCTGTGGGAATTGGAAGGAGGCCGTCACCCAGGTGGTCTGTAAATGCCTGTGGTTTGGGAAGTGCTGGGGAGGGCCGAGGTCTTCAAGGATGAGGAGCTGGTGGCCCCAGGGCCAGCAGCAGGGCCCTTTGCCCTGGCCCTGTCCTGTTTGTTCTCCATCTCCCACTGCCCAGGGCAGAACCTGGAGCGGGAGGAAATGTTTTTCTTCTTCAATTGGAAAAAACAACAGTGGGGCCAGAGCTGTGTGTGTAAGAGGGGGCTCCTGCCCTCTGCTCCCCTGGGACTGGCCTCAGAGAATGCCTTCCTGCAGGAAACCAGCCCCCTCCCTCAAGTACTGCCCAGTGGACTAGAAGATTCTGGAGACATTCTTCCAGTAGAGCTCTGCCCCAGCTAGGGTCCCTGACAGGGCCAAAAGCTGTCCTTCTTGCACTTTAGCCACCACGAGCTCTCCTGTCTCTGCCGTGGGTCCCAGCGGGGTAACCTCGAGGGGTGGGACCCTCTCCAGCAGCAACACCTGCAGGAGATGCGCTTCAGGCCAGCCTGCCCTTGGCGCTTACGGACACACCTTCCACCTCAGCAGAGGCCCTGCCCGCCTAGCCAGGGTCCCTTCCCCGCTTGCAGCGTCTGCTTCTGGGGCTCAGCAGGGACAGCCAGGCCCAGCCGGCCCCCGCCAGAGTCTAGTGGAACGTTGCTGTGTTCTTGGATGCCGTGGGCTGGAGGAAATGGCTCTCATGGCTGCGTGTGAGCGCCTTGGTCCTGCCCTCTGTGGCACCCATGGCAGGCGCCTGCCCCTTTGTGCCTTGTGCAGCGGATAATGGGCAGCATTCTCTGACACGCCGGCTGACCCCAGGCAGCTTCACACTAAGGCCTCTGTGCGGCTGCCGCCGCTGCCCCAGGGGCCCCCACCCACATTCCCCCAGCTACCGCCATCGCTAGGAGACAGTCTCCCCGGAGTGGGATGGGAGATCCCCAGTGACAGGAGCCACGGGGGCAGGGGGGTTGCCTAATGAGGTCAGGGAGCTGTCATGTTAAGTACCTACTGTATACAACACACCTACTGAATGCTCTTTCCGCCGTCCCCTGCCACATCGTACAAAAGCCATCAGAGTCCCTGCAACTGACCCCATTGGGGAGATGTGTAAGCTGAGGCTCAGAGAAGGTTCTGGTTCTGGATTCCAGCCGTACCTGTCTAGCTATGCCCATCCCATGGTGTTGATGGAGTTTGGGCTGAGCCAGCAGGTAGGGCAGGCTCACCAAGGGTGGTGGTCCCTGGGCTTCATCTCCACCAAGCAGAGGCCGTTGTACCCACCCACACCAGAGGCCCAGACAGGAAGTGACTCACCTGCAGCCGCTTAGCTGCCCAAGGCAGGAAGGTTGTTTTTAAAAAAGATCTATTTTATTTATTTTATTTATCTGATAACAGAGAGAGGGAGAGACAGAGATCTTCCATCTGCCAAATGGTTGCTGAAACCACAAGCCTGGGATTCCTTACGAGTCTCCTCGTGGGTGCTTGGGCCATCTTCGACTGCCTTCCCAGGCACATTAACAAGGAGCTGGATTGGAGGTGGAGTAGCCAGGACTCAACTGGTGACCAATATGAGATGCCAACAATCGCCGCATGTGGCACCTCGACAGGCTGCACCACAGCGTCAGCCACAGATGGGGGTTTTCCCTTGGGTCCGGCTGTTCCCCATCCTCCAGGGACAAGGCCCAGTGAGGCCCAGTGAGGAGGGCTGTCAGTCAAACTGTGGGGTTGTCATCCCACCAGTGCTCCTGCAGCTGGATTTGGATCCCAATCCTATCTGTCCTGTCTCTGTGATCTAGGATTCATATTTTCACCTCTCTGGGCCTTGGTTTCTGTACCTGTGAAATGGGTTTGCGTTCCCGCCTCTCTAGGCCCATGGGGATGAAACAAGACAGGTCCTGGAGGGCTTGTAAGCAGCTCCTGACCAATGGTGACTGCTTCCGGGGGGGGCACTGAACCCCTCCTCCTGCCCAGCTCTGACTCCCCCTGCCCCAATCTCTGAGGGAGCAGCGGTCCACAAGGCCCCGCTCTCGTCACAGCCTCACCTGTTGCTCCCCGTCCCTGAGCCAAGACCTCACCTCCAGTCCCTCCCCCCTTCCCCTCCAGCCTCACCCTCTCCTCTGAGTCTCTGCTTTCCCTTCTGGAAAATGGGCCGCTGATGGTCGGTCTTGGCTCACAGCAGGGGCTGGGTGCTGCTCCAGGCACCTCTCCCTGCCGTGCAGAGAAGAAAACGATGAAGATGATGGTGACACAAACTCAGCCAACCCCCTTT